ATATTGTGACAGGTCTTTTGGGAAATTTATTTTTATTATTGATTCCTTAGAAATTTGCCATGCAATAGCATTTCAAAATGTATATTAGTATTAAGGTTTCTGGTCCAAACTGTTTTCTCAAAGCCCAAACTAGTTTGGGCAATTTGGGCTTTTCAACATTTTTTATAAGCATGAACATTAAAAAACTATATGAATCAACTTGTTTTAATTTCGCCCAATTTTGGCTAATAACAAAAAGTAGTTTGGGCTTATAAAAAAATAATTTTTGCCCAAAGTATTTGGGCAATTTCGGCTACTAATAGAAGCAGTTTCGACCAGAAACCTTAATTAAGAAAAGAAGGCAGAATGAAAGTTCGTCTCAAAAAAAAAAAATGAACCAAAAGAATGTCAGATGTTATGATAATTGATAATAGTTAAGTATTGGACTAAGTGAGATCGTTTGATTCCCAACAATACTAAAGATAAACAATTGTATCATAAAAAAAAAGAATTTCCACTATCTTACAAAAATCCAGAGAATTGATGAATTAGTATAAAGCATACCAATTACTGGATGGAATTTTTGATTTTTCTCTAGAAAATTATTAACAAAAAAAAAGGAAATTTTAGATAAAAAAATACCAAATCTGAAATCAAGCGTTGTCCCAATCACAATTCCACCAGTATGTAGATATTTATATCTATCTACATTTAATATTAATCCTAGTCAATGCATGCTACAATAATCAATCAATAATAATAATTATAATAAATTCATAAAAAAATAAAGAAATAAAATTTATTTTTTTTATCAATAATTGATTAAATTATATATATATAGTTTTTTGTTAACATTAAGTTAAGTTTGGATGGAAGGTCTGTGTTCAGTTCGTTATGAAAAAACTTGTCAACCTTGACTAAAGAAATACAAATAAGGAAATTGTTTGCATAAAAAACTATGAACCTTTCTTATATATCTTTAGTTTTACAAATATATTTGAATTTTTAATTGAATTTAATTGGATAGAATTAAGTGATTATTATTTGGTATATATATTTTAAAAAGGAAAAAAATAAGAATATCATTATTTATGATGATCTTATGCCGTGATCCATTTTTTACATATTTTTTTTTTAATATTAATTTATTATTTTTTTTTTACATATTATAAAAATAAACGATTTTTATTTATTCCCTAAAAAAGCAATTAAAAAAAATTACTGGACACTGCAGATCTATAGTAATAGTAAATTCGAATTTACATAGTAAAAAAATTTTATAATTGAATGTCTTACATTCTTGCTTGATACCCTCTCTCACTGTGTAGCAACCACCACCAAATCTAATAGATAGTTTTAAATTGAATTAATTATTGGTATGTACATATATTTTTAAAAAAAGAAAAATTAGGAAATCATTAATGATGATTTTTTTAAAATGTCTAATTGGAAATCCAAAATTTTATTTGATCATACTATAACAGATAAACAAATAAATTTTGATAGAATTATTGTTTATTTCTAAAAACAATAAACATAATAATAATAATATATAATAATAAAATACACAACTGTGTAGTCAACCCTGTTAAACCAAAGAAACAGTAAATCCACCCTGTTAAACCAAATTTGTTAAACCTAAATACTAATACTAATTTTAAACGGAAATAACAGGGTTGACTGTGTGGTTTGTGGCCTAGTACTAGACCCTATAAATTATTTTAATAATAATAAATAACGACATACCAAAAATCAGAAAACACGAAAATTTTGCATGCATATTCTACAGGACCTAGGCTACAAGCCATATATACTTATTATGTGTGTTTTTGCATTATTGATTCACTGAAATTTGCTGTAGTGTACCATTTGTTCTAATAAAATCTATTTGAATCTACTAAAACAAATAAACAAATGGATAAATTTACATTATTGTTATTCGCACCCCTCCTGTGACTAAGTCAAAGATGAACCAATAAAATCATCACATTTTAAAGGCATTCATTGGTCACATTACTACACTTAGTCACGGGAGGGGTGTGAATAACAATTCCCTAAATTTATTATTTATCAAAAAAAGAAATAAAGAAACTTTAAAGTATATAAATATGGACTGAGATTGATGTATCAAAAAATTTTTGCAACATTAAAAATAATTAAACTTTATACATTTAAGTAAATATTTTGAAAAAATTCTTTAAAAAAATGCTGTTTAAATTGACTACTGCTTGTGTGATCAATTCAATTATTAACACTAAAGGTACAAAATTAATTATTTCATAATAAAGCTATTTGTTTGTTTTTTTTTGATTTTAGTATTAATGCACAGTTTCTATTCATAATACAAGTTTTGTTTTATTTGCTTTTATTTGCTTTATTTGCTTTTATTTGCTTTTATTTGCTTTTATTTCATTTTATTTGCTTTTATTTTGTTTTATTTGTTTTATTTGTTTTATTTTGTTTTATTTGTTTTATTCATTTTATTTGTTTTATTTTGTTTTATTTTGTTTTATTTGTTTTATCTGTTTTATTTGTTTTATTTGTTTTATTTCGTTTTATTTGTTTTATCCATTTTATTTGTTTTATTTGTTTTATTTCGTTTTATCCATTTTATTTGTTTTATTTGTTTTATTTCGTTTTATTCATTTTATTTGTTTTATTTGTTTTATTTGTTTTATTTTGTTTTATTTGTTTTATTTGTTTTATTTTGCTTTATTCAAATTATTATTACTCAAATTATTTGTTTATTCAAGTAAACCTTATTTGAATAGAAACCCTAACTGCTACTCAAGGTATGATATTATTTTAGTAAGAGCTTTAGAAATATTTAACCAATAACTTAATTAAAATATAAAGAGCTATTGATTTATTAAACTAAGCCAATAATTAACTAAAAAATAGTATTAATTTTAAAAGAATATCTGATAAATATTGGCATTTTC